GAGGTAGTGACGATTATTCGAATGGTGTTATCGTCTTTAAACATCGGATTTGGCAGCTCGGATATAACTAAAAAAAAATGTCAGAGGCTTTCATTTCGTACATGAATTGTTCACGCTAGGACTTGGTGGAAAAAGTGGAGGGATGAAAGATAGTTGTATAGGACTAGAACCTATCAGTCCATCATGATTTTCTATTTAAGGTCCTAGAAGTTATGCAAATTAGTGGCTTCAGAATTTACCACACATGGGACAGAATGGAGTCTTTCATATTCTACATAGAAGGTGACAGAAACTTAACTAATGGACATTCTTTTTGGTCATATTATAGTGGCTCACGTGCAATTGAGTTTATTCTCATTTAACTCAGTTAAGCCCTTTTGCTAACTCATTTAGCGGACAAAGTCATCCGCACTATAACAACTTATTGTACCCTTATTATTTTGTGCTTGTATGAAATACGTATGCTTGAATATTGATTACGGCCTACGCATTCATTCACTCTGCTAGTCTTACTACTAACTGCTTATCTGATTCGATTACTCATTCATTTCACATGGTATATATATGTCCATGTTATTCATATTCAACACACACGCGCACTCTCGTCTTGCTCGCCTTTCAGCACAGCTCTTCTATGCTTGTTTAACGCATCTGTACATTTGGATATATGTGTGTGGTCTCGCAATAAACGTAACCAACACTCCGTATTTGCCTTCTGATTAATATACCATTGGGACGTTATATAGAACGGTTATCAAGACGAGCTGTATACGAAGTTGAAGGATTATATCGAATACCGACCACCACAATATCTTTATACTGTACAGTATACCAGTCCATACTTTTTAAATGTACTCCCTATCCTAGCTTTATTTGTTTGGTGCAAACTTTCTTGGTGGCCAACTGTGTGCAGTAAGATAAAAATTAAAACACAGTCGTACCATTCAGGATCTAATTACTCGTGTGTAATCACCCATGATGGAGTCGAATGCAAAACTGACCTAGAGCCAGTGGACAGCTATTTCTTTCTAATATGGACCTCCTCAACAGTGTTTATTCACGACCCTACCATACGAAGTCGAACCAAAGACCTTAGGTCTGGAATGCGAATGTCAACTAAAGGAACAGTACCTGTTAGTACTTGATTAATCAGAGTAAAATATATGCGTCGTATTCTTTATCATTGTCTCCGCATTATTTCAGTGCTAGAAACTTATGTACAGACTGTTTTTCCATATTTAAATCTTTCGCAACCAGCCATAGTCACTGAGAAAGAATAAGAAAATACATTCATCTGAGTTCTCAATATTACAAATAGAATGTTGCTTCGCATTTATCTTATCCTTGTAGCCCATATGATCTTAACTGAAACATCGAGTTAAACTGATAAGAGATCATTTTTCCAATTGGTGAAATCTATAAAGGGCCTGTAACAATAAAGTAGTTTCTTTGAACGCTTTTTTCAGGTTTCATTACAAATTTGGTGTAACTCAGTCAGTGTATCTGTCAAACACAGTAATATATATATATATATATATATATATATATATATATATATATATATATATATAAACTATCACTCACTTCACAAAATGGTATTTCACTTGCTGGATGTACAACTGGTTGACTACGACGAGGTTTGTAAAATAATCTATCGAATCCCTCATCTGACGAATTGATTCCAGCACTATTATTGGAACCATTTGCATGATATCGATTATATGTATTCCTACCGCCTTTTCTTAATAACGACGATGATGATGAACGAGCGACTGTACGTGGTGAAGGGGCACAACTGGTGGATAAGCCAGCAAGACGATTTTGATACTCAAGCTAAAGTGAGAATTACAAACAAAATATATTTTGAGCAATAATAATAATAATAACTGAAGTTCGACAATGAAGTAGGCAATCAGATTGCATTACGGAATGTTGTACTGTGATGGGTGATTGTTAAATGATAATGGACAGAAATTAACGGGTTTACATCTAGAGTTTGATGAAATTCATTTCACTAAATAAACATTCTACAAATTAGGATATTTAATAATAATCTCCAACGTAATGTAAGATGTTACGAATGAGATAGTGAAGTATGGAGTAATCTTATGTAGAGATGACAAGATAATTTTACTAACAATGTTTGTGGTATAGCCAATAAATTATGAGGCTCGACAAAGTGATGTACTATAAAACATAGGAGTGTTCATAAAAGGACAACAACCAGTCAGTCAGTTGCAACGTAGGACCAGACACATACATGCATCGGTCCAAGTTGCCACACCTCATTAGCACAGAAAGATGAACACCGGATTCGTAGAGGCAGTTAACTCATTGGCATAATATATAAAGAAAAGATTTTATGCAAGGATATAGTACAGAAAGATATAAAGCGATTTTCATCTCATAATTTAAGAGAAGACAAAGAGTGTATACACCAACGCTATTGTGATCGATTCTGAGCCATGTCACCCACAGTCTCCAACCATTGATTACGATAGTTGCACGGACCCCAACCAAGTGTCTGTATCTACCAACATGGCTCAGACCAGAAGTTAGTGACTTCAAGCACTAATGGCACGTTTCGGTTTGGCCGCCCTAACTTTCTTCCAACCATCTCCAACACTTGTCGGTATTGCGCGTCGTGGTAATCGGCGGTTGGACATACGTAACACGTGACCCAACCATCTCAGTCGATGAACATTTACAACCATATCGACTGATTTACCATCATTCCCTAATACCTTGAGTCCAACCTCACTATTACTTACCCGATGATCCCAGCAGATGCGAGCAATATTTTTAAGACACCTGTGGTCAAATATTAGTAGCTTATGAGTATCTTCTACTACAAATGGCCACGTTTCGCAGCCGTAAAGTAAAACAGAACGAACTGCCGCGCAGTATACTCATCCTTTAATTGACAGACAATCTATGGCTTGAAGTTGATAATATTTAAATGAATAAGGAGTTAACACTATAACTTCTTATATATCCTCTATTTGTTTAATAACATTTTTTATGCAGTCAAGTATTGTATTCATTTCGAACCAATTAAATTTAATTGGAATATGAAGGTATTTGTAGAGAGTGTTGAAACCTGAAAATTCTTTATATGGTCATCCGAATGAACTATTTAGGAAGAGACGGTTGTACAATTATCTCTGGTTAAAAATAAATCAGTAATATAAACTGTTTACAAAATGAAATGAATTATATGACAATATTATAAGTAGACTGTTATTACTAACTAAAAATATATTATATTTGACCATTCAATTAAATGTACTAACTGATCAGTAAAGAGATAGATTAATATGAACAATTAATTTTAATACATTTATGAAAACAAAGACAGAACTTTCAATAATGTAGATGGATCATTATTTCCTTCTATACTTGGAAAAAAAAATACTGAAAATATACCTAACGTATAATACCAGTTAGTTAATATACACGATCGTTTGAACTGATGAACAAATCAAACGAATTTAGTTAATATAATTTCAGTAATCACCTCAAAATGGACTTGTGGTGTGTGTTACTTATGTTGATAGATATAAGTAGTATGTAACACTTATCAGCAGTGAAATGCATGGCAGTAGAAGATTGAGTAGATTGAAATAACGAGAAGAGAGAAGAAAACTGAAAGCAATCAAGATAACAACAAGAATGAAGCAACAATGAAGTTTTTAAGAGACAATTCAAAGAAGATGTGCAAATGATTTATGATTTTCACATTATAATAAACCATTGCGTGATTATGCATTGAACAATAAATTGGTCTTCCCCACCTGTGTTCGTTCATTACAGACTAAGCTCATAATTTCTAATGTGATCACAAAATACAATGATATTTTCAGTCATATTGTAATAATAAGTACTATCCTCAACTAAGGCCATCAGTAAATTACTATGACACATAGGTTAAATACATGAAGCAGTAACTCAGTGATTAAGAGTCTAAACTTCTAGTCACTAAATGATATAAACAAACTCCACTTCTCTTAACATCCGGTTTGAGCAACCGAATAGTATCAATATCACACACGTAAAATGTACCTTAAAGATAAGTACACCAACCTGTATCTAGTAGGATCATTTAATACAACTTCACGAATCAAGACATTTTGTTACAATTTCAAGAAGACTTACTATAAAACTGGTGAAATAATTCGAACAATTTTCAACATATGCCTTTTAATTAATAAATAGATTGTAGTTTAAAACACTGTTACACTTATTCTGCAGATTAGACAAACCGAGTAATATATGCGATAACTTTATTATGTAATAAAAGCCGATAAGTGGGTTGCATACATCCAAAAATTGATCTCAGTTGTAGTAACACTGAAAACTAGAGGACACTGAACAGCTGTTGTTTCATTATAGTACAGAACATATCAACAGTGTACATATATGACCTTAGTAATCGAACCTTGTCGAAGAAAGTCTTGCGTTGAACACATAAAAACATACGTGCTAAAGTAAAATGACCACGCGTTTACAATTACTGTCAGGGAAGTCTTACTCATTACCTTCTCGAGGATGGAGTGTTTTACGATATTCACCGGGTTGGTGGATATAGAAAATCTATCTAAGGGACTTGGAATACTCTGATTCCAAACCAATGGTGGCACATGGGATCCAGGATCTTGAGGGAACCAATCATTGGTCACCGGATACCATGAGACTGTATCTTCTAACGTTTCTCCACTGCCCTATGGATTAAACCTCTAGATCAAAGGCTCGGGGAGTAGTAGCTCTTTAAGAAAATCATCTTTGGTTTGGGCACCCGGATAGTATCCTACCCCTCACACAAATAGAATAAAGAAGTGTGACACATATGTATTTGGTGCCCCTTTGTACCACTATTTATGTATTAAAATAAAAATAAATAAACAAAATTGACAAAATATTAAACGAAATAATAAATCTCACACATACACACACACAAACACACATTCATACACTACTATTATTACTGTTGACAAGAATACAAAACATTGAGATGATTTTTTTCCCAATACATATATATTGTTAAAATGATTATCACATAAATTTGTATTACAGGCACATTTACATAGTTTAATGACGTAGCTTATTACACATGCTACATCATACATATAACAACAATAAAGACAAAAAAAATGATTATTTTCAATAAAATTGCCAAAAAAATAAATGAAAATTGTGAGAGAAATATTAGTTTGTAGGGGGGGAGGGGAAACCCTCCTTTCCCCCCCCACCTCCCTCCTTCATATCCATGAATTATTTTCTTCTTGTGGTACTTTTAGTTTTGAGACTGATTTTTTGTTGCTTTTTTCTTAAAAAAAGAAAAAATTTTTTCTTTTTATTCTTGAATTAATTTTAACTTTTCACCAGTACTCAATCGAAGGTTGGAACCATAACGTAAAAAAAATTCATATTTTCCATAGGCATTTAATAAATCTGTAATAAGGACAACCTGAAGTGTTTGAACAAAAAAAAACAAAAAAAACAAAAAAAATGGCGGGAAAAATCTAAAAATTATTTATAATAGTAAAAAAAAATAAGTTATGGTTAGCAGTAGAATATCAAATGTGCATTTTATCTTACTTGAGAAATGTTTATACATTGCAGTGTTTATAACTACATTGGGACTTGAACCTAATTATCTTTCAGTTCAAATGTCCAACATATATATCCATTAAGCTACTGGATCCATTGAGTTAATAACATATTTAATGAATATGATATTTATATCATAAATGTTAAGTGTTTCATTTATTCAATTATAAGTCTTCTCCATTGAATTTTAATCAGTCATTGTGTTTGAATCCCAATTTTAACATTAATACTACAATCCAGTTAAGTTCATGAAATTGACGAATTCGAAACAGGACAATAAGCGTGTCTTGGTTTCTACAACTAGCCTTAACCTATTGATTTCACATACCGGTTGAGTAGGTCAATTTCTGATAAGTTAAGATTTGACTATAACATCTAACCTAGCCAAGTTCTTCAACTTAATATATGTGCATTTGACATGTCAGATTATGCGTTAAAATTTCTTTGTAGATTTTCGTGCCATCTTTCTGTGAATTCTTCATCGCTATAAAGTATAAACCGATTGTGTTAATGTTGGATTCATATCATTTTGACTTTTCTGTTTTGTACAGAATTAATGTATGGACATTAGGTCTTAGGGAGTCAGGATGAAAGCCTGAAAGTAGGTAACACGCTAGTTGATCCTCATCAGAAGAGCTCATTTGTAGTCTTGGGAAAACTGATGGTCCTTGTGAGATTCGAACTGGCAGCGAACAGCTTTACAGTACTGAGCAATTAGGGACCTTTAATGGGGAAGCTACACGTTGGAATTCTAGAACATTCTTTTGAAAGGTGATTGGATGGAACGTCTTCGGCTCCTTATGAGCCTCTTACAGCTTCCTCGAGTTCACCGGTGGTCCGTCGTCACAGGACCCAATTAACTTCCACTAGCATTGAGATATTTACAACTGATCGATTACTCAGTAGTGCTCAACGTCAAATTTGTGTGGTTCATTAGTGCCAACTGGATTTTGCCGATACAGTTGCAATACAGCTACTAGTCAAACTGACGCAACTAGCACTAAACGGCTAGAGAAACATGATATTGTTTAATATTAGCTGATCAGTTAAGTTTGAAATTATCTGATTGGTTTTTCACTTACCTGTCCAAATGCATGCACCAACGATGCGGCGAAATAGAAATTCGCATTTCCAGTACCCGGTTGCAACCAAATATAATGAAATAATGGACTAAGAAACAATGCAGTCAACAAGCAACACGACGAAATAAACATCATTCGAGTTTCTGTATAAGAAAAATATAGTAAGCAAAGAAGGAGAAGGTAGTGAAAACAGAGAATGACAAATGTGTCTGAAGATAATACAAGTTGAAATGTTAGTTGGTCCTTAAAGGGAAACTGCATTTTAACTAGGCTTCGTATCGGTTGGAGCTCATCAATAAGATGTATCTGAGGGATTCAAATCCGCGTTTCGTACATCTTGAACATTGTCTTCCAATACTGTCTTTAATCACATAGCTCTGACGCCTCGATCGTGGGAAACAGTTTATCAATTCAACTGTAACTTTTGACAAGACTTCTAGGTGCGCCGATATAGCGGACGATGATGAGTCAGCTGGATGTAGTGTTTTGCATATATTCAGCTTTTTATTATATAGTAAACAATCGCTAGATCGTTAAGGGATACTGTTTTATTCGTTTCTTCCAGAATAATTTAGTTGGATTCGGAAAACGTTTGGAATATCATTTTTATTGTATCGAGTCGCAAAAGTCTTACTTTCTATACTGGCCATTTCGCTACATTTAAATAACAGTTGAAACACATAACACTCAGCCCACTATTTTTTTTATTTTTTCCTGAGTGCAATCATTCAGGGTTTTAATTACTTCCACTAACTTCACATGAAACATTTAGTCCACTTAAGCAAAGTTACTAAAGAATGAGAATTATTAGGTACTATCACTACTCTTTTTTTCTGCCTAATGAATCTCAGGTATGTGTCATCCTATCAACAATCTAACAATTTCAGGCTCAACTTTTGGGAAGGCCACAACCTGTAAGAGGCATCATGACGCCATAGGAAGTGTTGTTGAACCTATTCTACGTGGTGTACCGAATCCTTCGACCCTTCGTCCTAATTGAGGACTTAGAATTTACAGAATTAAATTTCATGTTAACCGCTTTACAAGTGAGTGACCATTGACCAACTAACGTCGTCCCTAATAGCCCTTTTGTCAGACTATAGGATTATGATAATCCGCATTAAATTACTTTTTCATAATACAAGAATCCATATTATCACAGCTGGTCAGATTTATATTGACACGTAGTTTGTATCTGATGTCAGCTAAACTAGACTGTCTTTTTACAAACCTCGTCAAGTCACTGAACAAAGCGTTTTAACCATCATAAATAATTTCACAAGCTACATTTTCCCACTCCCATTGCATTTCCACAGAATATTTAATTAGGTTTTCAATGGTCCTCAAACATTAGGAAAATTTAACAACAGGCTAGGTTATATATTTGTTCAACATCTCTGGCTAAAAATTCTGGCCATTTTACTATAGTCTGTTTTCGGCTTTAACAAGGTGGTGAGATAGGTGATGTCAAGCATTGTTTCGCTGTTACATTACTACATTTAATATTTTAACCTAACTTTGATTCGAACAAATTCATTACACATACATACTTTGAAATTCCTCATAAAATTCCCAGTGAGGCATAGGATTATCAGCAACACTTTTTGAATATTCTTTATTGAAAACAGAAAATTTTCGATATCATATTCTCCTTTTATCAAATATGGTTGAGTAAAACCTTCTCTCTTATGGTGACGAAATTTTTCAATCTCAACTTTCTTTAATTAAGTTACATGTAGCTTGGCTAACTTTAAATATATTAATGAATTATTTTTACATTATATCTCTTTCGAATTACTATTCACTGTATGACTTTGAAGGATAAGGTGACAGCTCTGGAATTTCATCAACATTATAATATTTCTTAGAAGTAATCTTAGTTACAGACATGTTGTCTACTCAATAAGAATAAATTAATATTCGAAGCTATATAGAACAGTATTTGCTGACAGATACAGTTTTCTTGCTGACATAGTCTACTTATTATGACTACGGATACTTGTAGTGTGCATCCGCAAATACCGACTACGGATACGCTAAGGCTGTGTTTAGCAGTTGAGGGACTTGCTTAGAAAATCTATATTTAGGTGAGTTTAATGCACACATCAGAGATAAAAGAGATAAATATGGTAAAATTTGGGGTTATAAATGAGATTGTGTACACGGAAACCTCTAACACTCATCTATTACGTAATCTAAAACATAACTGGGTACGCTACACTTAGTGAACATTGAATATGTTTGTGTAAATTTCAGCTTGTATGGAAAACTCACGATTTAAAAGATGACTCCACATTGGTAGGATAGATATTAAGAGGCCAAGTTCTCCAATATTGTGATATGGTTGTAATATATTGATAACAAATGATATTACAAGGCATGTAAATAATGGATTTCGACTAATTAGCATAAATAGAGATATAAAGAATGGGAGCATATGAACAATAATTACAAAAATTGGTTTCAGATAAAATCAAATAGGCTTAAATAAATTAATTAAATTTGACAGTAGTATATCTTGACCGTAAACTGAAAAATTCATGAGTATATATTGTCAAAAACAGAGAAACTACAGCTTCCCATTATCCCTATTTAGTATTGATTTTTATAACAGCTGAAGCTGGTACTTGAAAAGTGCTTTTCTTTGAGATATTGAACAACCATTTAATTTAGGTCCAGTTATATGATATTTGACAGTTGAATTGCGACAAACATAGATTCTCGTTAATGAAAATCCGACGTTGGTCCTCATAGATGGCTTTTAATGGATCTGCAACTGATCTTAATCAATGTCCCATTGTGACAAATATTTTTTTAAAATATTTTAGTCGTTTTCAAATTCCTTTATCAAGCACAAGTTAATACATTCCACTTACGGTCAGTCATACTTTTCTTGTGTGAACGCCTAGTAATACTACTTGATTGTTGAAATAGTACTCGGATTGACAATTGAATACAACCAGGTGATGCTTGGAATAAGTAAAACACATCGGAGCAAAGCTGAACAGAAAAGATTAACTTCGGGAGATGTCCTATTGCATTTTAGTAATGGAGATATCTATAAACGCGAGTAGTTGTGCTGATCTTCTGCAAAGACGCACGAAAAGCGCCAACGGTATATGAATCTCATGCACCGAAGACCATCAAAAAATCCTTCACAACAAAGGATAGGACCACAATGAATGTTATGCACTGCTATGAGCCGACCAATAAAAGCAGTGGAGATCATGAACATCAGTTTTATGAGAGGCTGTAGTCGATCATAGAGAAATGCCCAACTACTTAGCGTTCACCGAACCACTCACTGTATGACTAATTAACAATCAATGTCGTTGAATGACACCAGCGAGAATTTTTTATGCTGATTGCTCGAATTAATTACACTGAATTTTCTCCAACTGCAGGCTAACCTTGATTCGTTAATTCGAAGATTGAAGGTTCAGAATTTTTTCACCCCGTCGCCACACATAACAAGTAATGAATCAAACATTTAACGAAACCACGTTTATCATAACTTCGTTGTCAATACAATTATATTTTATTTACTAGTAAGAAAGCAACGATTGGATTATGGGCCGAAATAGGAAAACTCTTTTATAAAATTATAACAACAAGATATTACAGATTCATTACGATTATTATTGTTATTTCAAAACGAAATATATTCACCTACTTGAATTTAATTGTCAAGCCAACTACTATGCTGAAAATAAGTAGTTGGAAAACCCATGTGAAAAACTCACTGAAATGATCAAACATTTCAACAAACATGTACCAAAAGATACCCATTTGAGGTGTACAATCAGCTACAATGATACTAAAAAGAAAGTGGAATATCAGCGAACAATGAATTTACATTATTAATATGATTTAACAAGTTAACGATAATTCGTTATGATGCGCGGTGTCCAACGATTTATACTGATATAGAAACGTTCAAAATGCTAGCCCCTCAAGATGATCTTGACTGTTGATTAGAGGTAATAGCCGATTGTCACTTCTTAGTTTTCTACACCGTAGAAGGATATTTCTTCTTAAGGAACCTTCTGAGGATACTGAGTTAGTGCTGGTCTTAATGACTTGGAAGTGTGATTGCACAGCGCCAGGGATAACTGCTTAAGACTATACACAATTTCTTGATCTTGAATCCCCAATCAGAACAAAAATAATGATCGTTGAAAGATCTGACCGTCCAGGACGGATATCAGTGGGGTAAGGTGAGATGTGACATGCTTTGATTCGATCTTTTCTAACCCCTTTGTGATATGAAAGCATAGCTGTAAGTGCTAGTTGCTCAAAGGGAACGCCTTCCTACTATCACACCACAGTACAGTCAGTAGTACGACTTCTCCGTCGGACATTAGGTTGCTGCTTTTAACCTTATTGTTTTCCAAACGACCTATCTAGAATGGTTCGACCTAAAGGTACATGTATTCTAGCTAATACAGTTCGTTTGAGTCATCATGACAGGCAAGTACGACGACCACATCAAGTTAGTAGCTACAGTCCAGACACCTACAGTTCCTTGATCTTGAATCAACAATCAGAACACAAGTAATGATCGTTGTAAGACATTTTTATGTGTACTTGTGTATATGAGAGAGTGGGAGTATCACATGGTTTTAATGAGCGTTAGCTTGATGGTCAAAGTACGTAACTACCAGCCACTAAACTACGACTTTGAAGCTTGGGTCATCTAATTCGGATTGGGTAACTTGGTAGTACTGTGGTAAGTGCTAGTTATGACTGGTGGTCGACTGTTGACTGCATCGCCAATTTTTATGTCGGAATCGCTTATTACCCCACTTGTAAAACGAGGAACCATTGCAATTCTCACGATGCAAAGTAAGAACACTAAGACTGGTACAAGTTAGGACTTATTGCCACCAAAACACGACGACGATCCTAGTAGAAAGTATACTCAATAGATATATATCCAGTGTAAACTCATTTGGTTATTAAGTAGGATGAAATCACTTACATGAAAAGTAATTAGCGTTATAACAAATAATATGCTGCATGTCATGCTGAGCCTAGTTCATGTTAATTTAATAAAACAATATCGTATATTATACAGAATAAAATATCATACGGGAAAAAAGACAGCTACACTAGGTTATCACATTCAATCTAAACGGAAGTACTGTTGAACAAAAATCATGATGAGTAGAACAATCTAATTTCGACTTTTTATTGGATCATATCAGTGCTAAATATGTCGACAGAAATAAGTAGTATGTAACACCAATCGAACGTGGAATGCCTGTCAAAACAAGGTCGAGAAGATTGAACCGGAGAAAACAGGGAGGGAAATATAAAGGAATCGAGAATTGGAAGAATCATGAAGGATGTAAACAACAATTGATGGGAGATTTGCAAGTGAAGTAGTTTATGTATGGTTTCTACATTTTACGAAAGAACTCTGTAATTTCGCCCCAGACAGTCAATTGGTTGTCTCTATCTGAGTTCTCGTTCACCATAGAATTAATAACATTCAATGTAGGATAAAAGTTATCCAAAAGTCTGTACTTGGTTACTGAATTACATATAAAGAAGTTAAAAACGGAACATTTAGCTGGTGGATGATATATCTGGTGCAAAGACGCTTCAGCCAGTCAGTCAGCTACAACATAGGACCAAGCACATATATGCATCAGTCCAAGTTGCCATACCTCATTAATACAACAAGATGAACACCAGATTCATAAAAGTAGTTAATTCAGTTGTGGCAATATATAAAAGAAAGATTGCAATAAGGATATAGTAATCGAAGAAAGAATTAGTTCGTAGAAAGAAAGATATGAAATAATTTTAATCTCATAGTTTAAGGGAAGACAAAGAGTGTGTACACCGACGCCATTGTGATCGATTCTCAGCCATATCACCAAGAATCGCCAACCAATGGTTACGATAGTTGCATGGACCCCAACCAAGTAGTCTGCATCCACCAACATGGCTCAGACCAGATGTTAGTGACTTCAAGCACTAATGCGACGTTTTGGTTTGGCCGTCCCTAACTTTCTTCCAACCATCTCCAATACCGGATAGCATTGCACGTCGTGGTAATCGGTGTTCAGGCCTACGTAATACGTGGCCCAACCATCTCAGTCGATGAAGATTCATAACCTCATCAACTGATTTACCATCATTCCCTAATACCCTGCGTCTAACCTCACTATTACTTACCCGGTGATCCCAGCAGATGCCAGCAATATTTCTAAGGCATCTGTGGTCAAATACTAGTAGCTTACGAGTGTCTTCTACTCTTAATGGCCATGTTTCGCTACCGTAAAGTAAAACAGAACGGACTGCCGCGCAGTATACCCGTCCTTTTATTGATAGACGGATATCTCGCCTTCGCCACAGGTGACGTAAGTTGGCAAAAGCCAAACGAGCTTTTCGAATCCGTGCTGAGATTTCGTCAGACACCAACCCATTAAGGCTGATCAGACTTCCAAGATAAGTGAAGTTGTCGACGCGTTCGACTACTTCACTCCCTATCCTTAGTTCAGGTGTTGACGCAGACCAATCCTAAAGTAACAACTTGCATTTAGAGGGAGAGAAGCGCATTCCAAACATTCTGGCATTGTTGCTTAGTGCTACCAAAAGACTGCATTTATCAGCGTCTTCACCAAACAGGACTATGTCATCTGCGTATTCTAAGTCGATAAGTGGACCTCCTGGAAGGAGATCAATACCTGAGAATTCAGTCGACGAGAATGTTATTTCCATCAGTAGGTCTATGATGAAGTTAAAGAAAAATGGAGAAAGTGGACAGCCTTGACGGACACCACAACGGTCGGGACGCTTACCAATAATTTTCTAACTGCTTACCAACCCCATAAAACTCCTAAACCTGAGCCCTGAATAAAATATAGAGACCTGAAGTATAAAAAGAAGCTTAACTTCCAATGTTAGTTTGGGCCACAGAAAACAAGGATATTCACAAGCTTATATGTGACCCTGATATCCTAGGAGCTTCTGAACACATATTAAAATTAACAATAAAATAGGTAATTGTTCAACTAGGGTATACAAATCGTTTTGTAAAACTTTCTACGAAGTTTCCATAGAATACTGACTGGTTGGAATATTTCTACTCTTTTCCTAGTTTATGAGAGAATCCTCGAGGGCTCCGAACAGTATATATAACAAATACGGTACGAAAAAAAATATCTTGAAACAGTCTTTGATATAATTTCTAGTCGTTGATTGCATTGAAATTAGTATATGCACTTGTCCTACTTAGAACTCATCAACCAAATGTACCTACATTTAAGTATTAACGGTCACAGACCAATTCACACAAAATACATTTCACCTCAAATACCAACACATTATCCCTCAAAAATATATATACGTAAATCTTGTGCAGTAGAAATATATCCTCATAGGATAAATATAAATCAACAAAAATTGACTATCATAACCATGTACAGAAAGGTTGACAACAGAACAATATAAAATCTATTCAAACTAGAAAACAATCTTGTTAAAATTACCCCAATATGTTTGTGAATAATCAAAAGAAATTATACAGAATTTAATACTTACGTATTCCAATAAACTGATGTTAAAAAACTCCAATCATGATTTTGTACAATATAACTAATCCATAATAAAATTGAATAACTTCCAATGAAAGCAACCAATAATGGGAGAAGATTAGATAGACGAGAAATTATTCCTTTCGATTTACTTGGAAACTGCTTTTAACAATAAAAGATATGTATATAAAGAAAAAGTGAAAGGTATAGAAGAGGTTTTTCATTGCATAAGCGATTTGATCAACAATAAAAGTTTATGCAAAATTTTGAAATAGTAATAATTTACTTATCAATGAATAACAAAGTTTCGGCGAGACTCTAATTTAGGGACGAGCCAATCAGAAGCGTTTCAATTATTAGCCAATCAGAAGACAGTTAGCATAAAGTAAAAATATATTATAAGAAACTAATGAATTACAGTGGATATTCTTCTTTTACATTATCTAAAAACTTGTTAATGTTTGATAAAGGTTCAGAGGTTCTGAATTCATAATGCATACGGCATAGAAACTCGTCCATAGGGTTAGGTTTTAAGGTCAAGTTTAGGGTTAGGGCTATGGTCTAGGTTAGGGTTAGGGTGGCGAGACTCTAATTTAGGGATGAGTCAATCAGAAGCGTTTGAGCAATTTCAAGGTCACGGAGCCAAGTTCAACACGTGATGCTAACATACGATCGGTTCACAGCGGATTTTAGAGAAGAGGTGATTACCGAGAGGCTACAACCCTAACCCTATGGACGAGTTTCTATGCCGTATGCATTATGAATTCAGAACCTCTGAACCTTTATCAAACATTAACAAGTTTTTAGATCATGTAAAAGAAGAATATACACTGTAATTCATTAGTTTCTTATAATATATTTTTACTTTATGCTAACTGTCTTCTGATTGGCTCGTCCTTAAATCAGAGTCTCGCCGATCAATCCGATTCACTTAAAGGGGAATAATCAAAACTATAAGATAACTGTTATATCCTAATAAGGAATAAAATGAATGAGTACTGCTACGAATTATTTATGGACTATTATTACATATATTCTTACGGGATAACCACTACGTAACTACTGGATTATACATATATATCCATACTTCTTTTATCATAAGCTTTCATCCAACCTATTAGCTACTGCAATACGATTTACTATTTTCAACTTATTTTCACATTGTTAGTTACAGCATACCACACTCATAGCCACTTTTGACTTGATCTTGTATAAATTATTTTCCATTTTATCGTGTGATGAGGCCTGATCTGTATGTATGTAAACTACATATGTCTGAAGTATACAATACATAAAGTGGCAGCCGGTATTTGTGTTCTAGACTCAAAGAGGGAAGCCTTCGCGAAAAGCTATTGTACTGAGGACTAAAAAGGATTCAAAGTCCACGCAACGCTACTAGTACCGTAACGTTATTCTTGGTCTACTTAAACCACGCTCTAAACTGCACGTAGAAGCTTTTAACTTCCGAACACTGTGCCAAATAGGACAACAGGCTTCCTTAGGTAGGACTTTCGAATCTCGCACATCGATGTGTGCTGCGTCTCCGAAACGTGCATACAGGATCCGAGTAGTGTCATTCACTTGACCTCATTATGTCAAAATAAAGAACCAACTTGATTCACACTTCGTGTATCTGGAAGCCCTGATGTTGCTTCCCGTGGCCTCGCTGGCGTAGGTATAGCATTGAGTCCAATGGGCAGAACTAGCTCTCTTAGACCGGATCCCAGTAGACAGTCGTTTGTGCGCCAACCGACTAAACGGAACAATAAGGACTCGGAAAGATAAGGACACTCGTCATTGCCTTTTCGTCGTCTCTGCCTACTCTCCCACTAACTGCAGCTCAAATGATGTGAAAGATGAGTTTTACAGAAAGCTTTCCGACTTTCCCCAAAAAGCTAGGCGCTCGGATGTAGTAATAGTGGCCGGTGACTTAAATGCTCAATTAGGTAAAATAAGCGAAAAGGAAAGACACCTGAGTGGATCTTATGGCGGCTCAAAGAACAGATAATGGCGACCAACTGTTGCAGCTATGCCCAGATAACCACCTGTTTCTTGCAAACACCAACTGTCAGCATAAGGAAAAACATTTTTTGATATGGCAACCCCCGGATTCGTAACGACGTTAGACCCAAATAAATCACATCGCTATCAGCCACCGATGGGAGGGCTCGATAGAAGACTGTCGCTCATTCTGGAGCACAGGCTTAGATTCAGATCATGCTCTAGTGCGAGCGCGTATTTGTCTGAGTCTTACTGGACGTAGGAAGGATGCTGCAAGGAAACCCTTTAGGGTTCTATTTATTGATAGCCAAGCTAAAAATATATTTCGGGAACAACTAGGAAAACAGTCAGGCAGCCATGTAAATGATGCCCACCCCGAGGCAGCATGGAACGACATCCGAAAAGCTGTGGAAACAGCAGTAATATCTACTAGTGAGGTAAACCATAAGATTAGGGAGAAATACTGGATCACAGCAACATCTACCGCACTGATAGATGCTCGAAAACTCATCCCATCTGGCTCTGAACATAACAAAGAGCGGAGTCAGTCTAAGCACAGGCTGATAAGAAGCCTACGCAATGATCGTGAACAGTGGTGGGTAGTGAAAGCAAGAGAGATGGAAAAGGCAGCGGCAATAAGTAACAGTAGACAAATGTTCAGAATTGCTAAGGAAACCGGTATTACGAACCCAATTATTAGCGAGACTATCTTAGAAAAAGATGGATATATTATTCATTCTTAATCCAGGAGATTGGACCGATGGGCAGAACACTTTAAGGATCAGTTCAACTGGCCTCCAGCCACACTTCGGTTTCCCACAATCTTCAGTCGGCCTGAATGGCAAGTAACTGTAAGTCCTCTAACTCTTCACGAAGTTGAAAAATCTATGGGAAATCTGAAGCGTGGGAAAGCAGCAGGCACTGACAGGTTTACTCCCGAGATTTTTAAGGATGGCGGTTCAGTATTAGCAGCGAGATTGACTGAGATCTTAGGTAGAATCTGGGGACTGGACGTAATCCTATCTGACTGGTCCCAATCCCTGATTATGCCAGTCTATAAGAAAGGACAAAAGTCCTCTTGTGACAATCACAGAGGAATCAGTTTGACTAATATACTGTCTAAAATATTAGCTTTAATAATACTTCGACGCCTAACCAAAGCTGGTGAAGAGCAAACTAGAGAAAACCAGGCTGGTTTTCGACCTGGACGTGGTTGTATAGACCACATATTCAAACTACGTCAGGCCCTAGGACATAGACACACATTCAGACGCCCCACAATCGTAGTATTTCTCGACCTTAATACATTTAATGCATTTTACTCTGTTGATTGTGAGGTTCTGTGGCAGTGTTTGTCACTGAAAGGAGTGCCAAAGAAGTACATTAACCATATAAAAGCTCTTTAACCGGACACAACTGGTCGAGTGAGAGCTTATGGCGAACTGTCATCAGAATTGATTGCCTCAAGTGGTGTTCGTCAGGGCTGTCCACTCAAGAAGTCGTTGGATTGGTGTCGTTGTAGTGGGTTTGCTGCCGGACTGATGCTGAGATGACCTAATTTGACTATTTAGAGGAAGTAAAATTCGTAACACGGTTTCCGTGGGTGAACCTGTGGATCATTATCATGACCCAAAAATATATAGGATGCATGCACCTAGTTTCGTGCTGGACTGCATGTACCTTGGCTTAATGGTATTTACCCTAGGCTTCAGCGGTAATTATCGTAGACGTGCTTTTAGAAATAACACTTTCCTCATCTAGATTTCCACGAGTTGAACATTTACCGGGAGATCCACTTGTTGACTTAGAATACGCCGATGACATAGTTGTATTTGATAAAGACGAGGACAAAATGCAGAATCTTCTGCCTACTCTAAGCAACAATGCAAGCGTGTTCGGCATTCGATTCTCCCCCTCCAAATGCAAAATGTTACTTCAGGATTGGGTTGCATCGACACCCGAACTAATGATAGGGAGTAAAGTAGTTGAGCATTTCGATCTCTTTATTTATTTTGGAGTCTCATCAGCCCATGTGGTCTGGTGTGTGACGAAATCTCAGCACGGATACAGAAGGCTCGACTAGCTTTTGCCAACTTGCGTCATTTATGGAATAGGCGAAATATCCGTCTATCAACCAAAGGACGGTTTTACTGTGCAGCAGTTCGTTCCGTCCTACTTTATGGCAGTGAAACATGGCCGGTAAGAATAGAGGATATTCGTAGGTTACTAGTATTTGATCATAGGTGTCTTCGAAGCATTGCTCGCATATCCCGGGAACACCGAGTAAGTAATGTAGGTGTTAGGAAACGGGTACTAGGTAAGGATGGCAAATCAATTGATGAAGTAGTGATACTTCATCAGTTGAGATGGCCGGGACACGTGTTACGTATGCCCAAACACCGACTGCTCCCATATGAGATGTTTCATGGTGTAGGATTAGGTTGGAAGAAAGTTAGAGGCGACCAGACAAAAACATGGCACAAATAAATGAAGTCACTGACAAGTCGACTGAGCCATGTTGGTAGGTGTACACTACCTGGTTGGGATCCACAAGACGACAGCAAACGATGGTTAGAGACCTTGGATGACATGGCTCAAAATCGTTTGTACTGGAGCAGGTGCATACACTCTTTGTGTTCTCCCAAATTCTAATCTTCTGAATTCTTCATGTTCCATTCCTTTTTTCTCTTTCCAAATTTATTACACTGGATTATACTCCCTGAATAACATATGCGAACCCTAATCTTTCCGATTACTGCCTATACTTTTACCACCTCTACCACTACGGGGTTTAAGTCGACAATCGCTAATGTAGTATGGTAATTCGAACTGACGTACGAAGTTCCACGTTGTTACTGACTGATTGTGGTCATAGTTACAGTAAATAAAAAATGAAATTTAAAATGAATAGTGTTCGTTTAATCGTTAATGCTAATCGAGGTGCAATGTGACCACCTGTATAAGTGATTCGACTTTGTGTGAGATGGTTATAGGTAATTGACAGGAAGCCCAGTAAAGCCAAGGTTTTGTGCTAGTTCAGCACTTGACATATCTGTGATCTTGAGGGAACGGATGCCTTCTAGCGGATTCGAAACCCTGGTTGACAGCTTTTAGAATGAGATATAATCTTTTAGCATTTCGGTTCACAACTAACGTGTTCTCTGTTCAGTACCTCTGACCAATTAAAAATTCAATATACCACTGGGGCGTAGCATTTTATCTCTAAAGCTCAAATCTTTACAACTATAAGCCCCGATCTCTCAAAAAATAGATTCGTGGCCATCTAACAGCAATCGGTTAGTGGATAACCTATTAGCGTTTGGAAAGAAAGATAGTGGTTTCGTGCCCCTATGTGAACATTAACACGATTCAGGTACATCAAGCTGAAGAGTTCAAAACAGGACGAAAGGCCCGTGTTGAATGACACTGATAGCCTTGATTTATCTATTTAACTTTTAAAACGTGGTGAAAGATTATTTTAAGTGAAATTAAAATACACAAGACAAAACTAGGCAATGGGATGAAAACATCGACTAAACTACACAGAAATGTACATAGTTTCTTTCTTATTGGTAATAATAGAAATTTAGTTGTTTTGATGAAAGATTCAATCTGAAGCCTTACATAACTATTATCACAGACCAAAGTATTTGGAAATCATCGTTTTTTAAACAAAACAGTGAGATAAATATCTTACATTGTAAGCAGCAGCTAAAACTGGAAACATTAAATATCCTGGATATATACGAATGTAACATCCAACAGCGCAAAAAGCAGCGGCCGATAACAAGTGACCTAAAGAAAAATTTAGGAAAAAATATTCGCTAATTGTTAATTATTAACTGATAACGACCAAATAAAAATATGGCATCGATCCATGAACTCACCAGTTGCTCATTTAAGCCATATCATTAAGTGTAAAATTGTGTGGTTGGTGTTCACGGTTATAATCATGTTTTATGATTGAGAATATTGGGTGACAACCTAGAGTCAGTTGAACAAGCCACAGTTGCAATCACGAAGAGGTAGTTTACTGGTTAGAGTTTGATTTTCAGTCGCTCAGTCTCAGATTTAAATACGGCTTTTACTACTTCAATTTGGGCAATCAGGTATTACCACTTGCCTTCACACTTAGAACATGTCGCTCAAAGACCAAGTACACGAATATGTGTCTGGCAAGTGACAGTGACCTTGTTTTTATTGCTCTGTTTAAATTTTTCAAGGGGTCTGGTTGTATGATAATGAGAGTTGCAATCATTATTTATAGCTCTGAATGTTGAGATAAGGATAATTCAAGTCATTCCATTTATTGCTCCTATTTTTTTCTGGAAAGGATACCTCATCAAAGTAACAATGAACGATCCCAGCAACAGTGAGAACTACAGAGGCAACACACTACTATCAGTTTAAAGGAAAGTGAACGCCCAAATTCGAGATAAATGTTGGTTTTCGAAAGGATCGGTCGTATACTGACAAAACCGCGACACTATAGATCATTGTTGGCATGAATACCAAGGTTCGACTTGATAGTTTCAAATAAGTTGAGCAGTAAGTATAGAGTTAATAATAAATATATTTTTGCTATATCTCAATGAGTAGAAAAATTGTATTTCTGACGTTTCGTGAGTTAATATAAACCACTTCTTCAGAGTAAACAAATAAACGACATTAAATCAACACAAGACAACTAAATGAATCCAATTCATCACTAAATCAACTCTCTCGACTATGTGAAATCATTTGATAGAGTTGAAAGTAGGACTTTATGAAACCTTCTACGATATCATGGTGTTTCTGAGATAATCGTCATCACCATACGGAGCTTCTATGAGACTAAACTGATTACAGAGCTCACAGATGCATTCCAAGCAAAGACTAGTGTCAGACAAGGTTGCGCACTCTCGCTTTTTCTGTTTCTTCTGATAGTTGACTGGATTATGAACACCTCCACGTCTCAGGGAAAGCACGCAATACAGTGGACAGTTTGGATCCAGTTACACAATTTGGACTTTGCGGATGACCTAACTATTCTATACCATACAGAGCCAAAACGTAGGTGAAGACAGTGAGTGGGCGGAAATCATCAAACTACATCATAAGGAAGCCCTAACTTGGAGCTCTCAAGGAAAAAGAAAAAATGGGGAGACCGAAGAATAGAGTCAGTCAGCTACAACGTGGGACCGTTGTTTCTACTTTTACGTGGTGGTCGGGCTTGCCTATCGTAATGAACCGACTGAGCTATACTGGCCGGAACAACCGTTCCTCAAGGTCTTACCATGGCAGACAGGTCGGTTGAAGAGCGGTAAGACTAAAAGCAACAAACCCAAGGTCCGAAGGCGAAGTCGTACTGCTGACTGTACAGAGGTGTGACATCAGTAAGATGTTTCCTTCAGACAACCAGCATGACAGCGACGCTGCCTTCCCACAAGGAGGAGTGGGGTTAGAAAAAGTCGACTCTAAAAATGCACACCTCACCTTATGCCACGGATATCCATCTCCGGTGGTAAGGTCTCAACAAGTACGGAGCTAACACGAAAATTACCCATAAAAAGGTCGTGTGTGACCGACCTCAAGCAGTTGTCCCTTGGGTACTGCAGTCACGCTCTCAGGCCACTAAGACCACCTCTAATCCAATTTCCTCTTCAGGTGCCTCCAGAAGAACCCTTCTACGGTGTGGGCAACCGGGAAGTGATAACCGTCCTCATACCTCTAACACGACTCAAGACCACTGTATTCATGTTCAACCGAATACAATGCACTGGAAATCGGGAGCAGAAATAGTGAGTAGCACGTGACAACGACAGGAAAGAAGAACTCAGGACAAAGTTGGTAACAGGCATCAGTAAGTTTTTTTTATTTTGTACTGTTTTTTTATGTTTGTATTTCCACTACAGTTTACATTATCTCCTTTCCTTTGGTTGCCATATATAATTAATTTCGCCTCTATGTACTGATGTAATATTTATTTATTTATTTCAACACATAAGCATTGGTACAAAAAGGCAATGAACAGATATACGCCACGGAAATCATTTCATTTGTGTGAGGGCTGGGATACTGCCCGGGTGCCCGAACCGAAGCAGGTGGTTTTCTTAAATGACCACACCCAGAACATTTGACCTGAAGGTCTGATCCACAAGGCAGTGGAGCAACGTCAGGAGATGCAGTCCCATAGTAGTCGGTGACCAATAATAGGTTCATACTCCATTTGTTTCCTTAGGATTCTGGAACCCATGTCCACCAATGGTTTAGAATCAGGGTTTTCCAACTCCCATAGATGGATCCGCCATATACACCAACCAGGTTAAAGCGCCAGACATTCATTTATCGTCCTCTCAATTCCGTAAACGACACCCCGCCGTGGCAAAGCAGTGACTAGGGCTTCCTTGGAAGTGGTTGTAATCACGTGGCCACGTGATAGCATTTCGAGAGGGAAAGCGGACTCTCACTCTATGCCGTATCCGAGCATTTAGGAGCTGAGCTAATAACAACTTATACCGCCACACCGTTGCCACACTCTACATTGACAATAGATATTACTATGTAAAGAATAAATACGACTGCACTTGCTCAAATGAAGAGTAACTCGAATAATAATTGAGATTTCAGTTATTAAACCAACCAGCTATAATTCCTTAATTATCATATAAATGTGACGAAATCGTTCGTTACACCAAATCGTTTCAACCAAAGCAGATCTTAGTGAACTAACGAAAACATCACAGGGAACTTATTAAACAGATTATAAATAATTTGTGAAAACCACTGGTTAAACTGATCACTGGTTCGGATATGAAGTCGCATCTATCAATGTCATATATCCTTGAACTGTATGGTCTCAATGATGCCATTCAGAAAGTTACAAATGTAAGAAACGGATACTAGGCTGAAAAGGTTGTTTATTCTACATTTCCTATTAGTACTAGGGTAAGCAAATAATATTAAGAATCGATATTAATGAAGTATCACATATGAAACATGTTCAAGTGAATGAGAGCAATTCTGCCATTAAAACCTTCCTTATCAAATAACGATGCTCACATTACTCAAACAGGTGTCCTTAGGTACTGACTACTTAGTGTTTACTTACAAAATTGGTTAGTTGATTTTCCCGACAAACGACAAGTGCATACGAATAGGTAACTTATTCGACCTCAGAAGTGAAATTCAACGTTGTCAATCGAAAGGTCTTGTGGCAGTAATTTTGCATGAGAATTTCTCACCATATTATCCACAGAAATAACAATTGATTCACACAACTGTGTAAATGTCTAACTAAAACTGTAACGTGAATTAATGGTAAGGATTGGTTTCTTTGAAGGATGTTCACTGGATGTATATTAGTAAAGTTTATAACTGACGTCACTTTCCATTCCTGATAACACGTGGAAAAAAAGAAATAGGCATTTTGAGTCCCCGTATGTACACGAAAACTAGGGCATACAATACAAGAAACCACAATAAACCTGTCACTACGTAAAAGCACTTTCAACGGAATGAAACTAACCTCTACAGACAGATATATTGATCCATAAAAAGACAACATTGTACACAACAGCTGTCGACTGAGCAGCTGAAATCAGTATTGAGTAAGGATTAAGAGCGTACCTGTGAGGAACAATAAGTTCAACAAAAGTCAAATTTAAGAACTTAAATATGGTATTGCCTCTGAGTGAAGTATAAAACAGGACATAGGTGTGTTTCCTTTTCATCTAATCAAGGGAACTTTTGGTGGTATATAACGTCTATCCACTAACCAATCTTCCTAGCATAGTAGGATTTAAAAGAACGTGCGTTTTAACCAACACAACTTGATTGGGACATTGCAACACACAAACTGAAGTCGTTTTAAGCTAGACCACCATTGAAAACCTGGAAGCACAGGACGACTGCCTCGCCCCAGAATAAGACTTGAGCAGTGAGCACCCACGATCTCGCACCAGAGGGGCTCAAACCCATGGCCTTCACTCTCGCGCGCGAGCGCTCAACCTCTAGACTACTGAGCCGGCACCCAACAGTGCTAATGTCTAACTTCAATATATCCATGAAATAAAGTACAACAAGGAAGCAGCAAACATCACGTATTGACTCTATTTGCGAAACGCCTTGAGAATGATGACTGATACTTCCATAGCTTTAGACAAGGACTTGCTTATAAATATCAAGTCCCCAAAGTCTACTTACAGCCTTTTGGTATAGTGCAGTTTATCATGACATCGTTGACAACAATGCGCTCATGTTTCCCAATCTACGTAAAGACCTACCAATCCAGTTTTCACAACATACTATGGAGATCGAAGAAGCAGCATTATGTAATATTTACTGATGACATACTAGATTACCAAAACTGCTGCTGGTGACTACAGATGCCTTAGAAATATTGCTCGTATTTGCTGAGATCATCGGGTGAGTAATAGTGAAGTTAGACACAGGGCATTAGAGAATGGTGGAAAATCAGTCGATAAGGTTGTAAATCCTCATCGACTGAGATGGTTGGGTCACGTGTTACGTATGTTTAACCACAGATTACCATGAAGCCAATACTGACTAGTGTTGAGGATGGATGGAAGAACGTTAGGGGCGGCCAAACTAAAATATGGCACCAGTCTGTAAAGTCGCTAACTCCCGGTCTGAGACACGTTGGTATATGCGGACTACTTGGTTGGGGTCCGCGTGACTATCGTAATCAATGGTTGGATACTGTGTGATTGGAGTGGGTGGAGACTCTGGGTGACATGGCTCAGAATAGACCACAATGGCGTAAGTGTAAACACTATCTATCTTCCCTTAAGCTATGAAACTAAAATTGTTTCATATCTTTCTTTCTACGAACTAATTTTTTCTTTCTGTACTATATCCTTACATAAAATCTTTCCTTCATATATAACACCATTGAATTAACTGCTTATATGAATCCGGTGTTCGTCTTACTAGGCTAATGAGGTGTGGCAAATTGGACCGATGCATGTGCCTGGTCCTACGTTGTAACTGACTGACTGACTGCTAGTGAAACTATAAATAAAAACCTCAAACTAAATTGATTTGAATTAAAATACAGTGAGCAGTTTAATGTGGTTCGTACTAGATTTGCTTTACGAACGACGAAACGTTTAGCCAGTTTTAAAAGCCAAGCCAGTATAAATGAGAAATATCGTTTTACTGAAAATTGGTAACAGCGGAAGAAAAGAGTAACTCACAATGACAATGATACGAAATAACATGAAAGAAACCCTTAACATTGAAACTCATAATACACCAATTTTTCTATAGGTTTCGATATGTATTAAGGCCAAGCACGCTTACCATATCACTGAAAGTGCTTGAAGCTTTCTGAAATCTATTTCTTTCAATAAGAGGTGCTTCGATGAATCATGTACAAAAGACTTGTAGCGATGTTGAATCGAGAGAAAATAATTAAACGCTGTTCCGCAAAATATGAACAAGGAAGTCAGCAAGATGAATTCAAGAGCCTAGAACAGTAAATAATCAACTTAACTACAAACCAAATGATAAGAAGTCCCATCTCCATCAGTCAGCTTTAATAAGTAAGACCACATTAATAGCAACAAAGGAGGCTATCAATCCAAATGTGATTTTAATCTATTCTAACCTGATGTACTACATCACCATCATACGCAGAAATCCCATGCTTTTGTAAATAAATCCCTTCACTAACTGTGCCAATTAAATACTTTATTCCGAACATACCAGAGTCCCACTGATCTAATGATGAATATGTAAGACTATCCAAAAAGTTTTTGGATGCATATGTCTTGACCAAATTCCTAAGGATTAGTCCAAAAACTACAGACAATAAACAATCCCAGGTCATTTGCGAAACCAGCTGTTAGGTCGCAAGTGAACTCAGGTGAAGAAGATAAACAACTCTAAAACAGACTGTCGATGTTTTGTAGTACACACATGAATATACAAAAACAAATAGAAAACAGAGGAGACGTCTTTGATAAACAATCAGATGATATGCTGATTCATCAATAAAATTTGGCATGCGACTTGTAGTTTTGCTTGTGATGTGCTAGATTTCGGCTACCTTTACTGTACCAGAAGTCCGATTTAAGCTCATACTTAACTCTTTTTGCTCTATTTTGGTTTTTGAAGTGCTATTCATACATTTTTCTTCCTCAGTTTCTACTAGTTGAAGTTTTTCTGTTGGTGCGTATCTGAAATGTTCAAGTGGTTGTATGCTTCTGGACGAAATAGAAGAATCTTTCGCTTGACGCGCCTCCGTACCTAATGGCAGTGGTTTACCGATGCCTCCAGCTAGGAACCTAGATATTTAATAAGTGTAAAAAAGACGATGTCGGTAAATCGTAACTATATACCGTCCTTAGTCCTTAAGAATATGTCACGTGTTACCTTAAAAAACTCTCGACAAGTCTCTTGGACAAGCTCGACCGGCAGCGAATTCCAGCATTTGACTACTCTCAAGTGGTAGAAGATGTGTCTACAGTCCGTTCAGCTGTGTTGTCTCCAGTTTCTGGGTGTTACCGCTATGTTTTGTGATATGACTAAGCCTCAGAAGGTGACTAGGGGAATGCTCAGAGGTGCTGTGGGTGTTGCAAGTCAGTAGAAGGTCAGCTCTAAGACGCCTATATCCCAATGAGTGAAGATTCACTGATTGGAGGCGCTCTTCATAAGACTTGAATTTCAGTTCCCGAACTGATTTCGTGGCTTGCCAGTGGATATGCTACAGAGTGTCTTTAATATTTTTAAATGAGGGAATAACTACTATGTTTACGTACTCTAAATCGGGACGAATAAAACTGTTGAAGATTAAGTGGAAAGTTCTTCCTTTGAACTGGTAGAAAATACGTGTAGTGGTAAATAAATCCCCAAAATCAATAGCTCCGTAAGTCTTCGATATTAGATGCTGACCACATTAGTTTTAATGGAATCACCTAGCTGAAGGCACTCGGTCATGCATCCACAGCAGATCAGGAGTGGGAACGCCGAGCTTAACTTCCGTTGCAGTGGCTAGCCAGTTTGGATCAGTCGAATCTCGATATATTGATAGCTTATCAAATAAATCTTTGAACCTCTTCGCTTCTGACCTTTGATTCCACTAGGTGGGCACGATTTATAGCAGAAAGTGTTGCTGGTTAAAGCGTTATCGAACTCCAAATACTTTTAACATTTTCACGCAGGGTTATTTGGGAGGGCACTTTGCAGCTATTAATATAAGACTTCAGATCATAGGGTACCAACACTTCTACATCTTTTTCAGCTTGTGATGCCTTTACAATAGAGTTACTTAAGTTGTGGTTTTAATCTGTAACATGTCTCTGATGGACTACTTAACTCTTCGAAGTGTTAAATGTAAGTCTGTTGTCATCTGCTCAACTTTGAGGTCGGGGCAGATTTACCTGTGTCACTTCTGTAAGTCCTGTATAGTTGCAAGTGAATCTTTCGTCAGTAAAGTTGGTGTGGGTCGGTTGATGAGGTCGAGAGTACTGTTCTGCTAGAAGTTGAGCGGCATCACCTTTGTTGTTAGACGAATCAAAACTCTGGTTTCGGCTTGTTGAAAAGAATCTGAACGACCTATTAAGCTTTTTAGATTGGAGGCGAATTTATCGATAAGCTTTATCTTGTATCAACCCCTGCGTTCTATTCACTTTGTAAATTTGTTGAGTACTTGTTTGAATTGCCCAAATTCTCTGTTGTTTCCAGTTCCTTTGTACTCCGACCAGTAGTTCTTTTTGAGGCTAAGAAAACGTGGTGTGGGGTTTTCGATCACTGTGAGTTTCTTGTAGATTTCGGAGACCCTTCGCGGAATAGACTGTTTTGTAGCACATAAGATCGTGTGCAGTAAGAAATTCCGATGAGTATTCACATCAAGCTGAGGGTAAACTTCATAGTCCACCTGCTGGAAATTATCCCGTAAAGCTGACGCATCCAACCGTTTGAAATCCCAGCACCTGTTGTCGATAGGATGAGCTAGCTCAATTTTGCTGATAAAACTGAGGGCTAAGACAGATTGATCGCTTTTCTTCAGGAGAGCCAGAATTAAGAGGTCGCCAATGAAGAATCCCTCGTTTGTTAATACACACCATACAGATTCACCAAGATTAATAAACACTTGGTTGTGCAATTGATGCAACTACAGGTAATATCGCAACCACAAGACCACTCCGCCCAACATTCCTGTTTGTCTGTCAATGGGAAACAAAGTCATCTCGAGTATTGCTAGCTTCTGCTCCGTAAATTGAGAAGAAATATATATTTCAAATATTCCTATCAGATGAGTATTACCAGCTTCACTGGGCTCACGCAGCTCATGAATTTCGTTCTATAATCTCGAGGCGTTCATGTCCAAGAAGTTTACGCTTTCAGTTTAGAACGCATGGGCTTCCCCATCCTGTTTGTCTGTGTTAACCACATGTGAACGGGCAAGTGACCTTTATACACAGGGTTTTCCAACTATTTTACGTTTATTCCATGGTCTTGGTAGTTCACAAGTGGAATAGTTAGCTCCAATTTGCTTTTGTGCTTGATCTTGGCAACATGTAGCCTATCCGGTTGCATGTGGATTCCAGTTGTCGATCGTTGTCTGTCGGCACGAAATGCTTCGAGAATTGCATACAGTACGCTGAGATATGGTACGATGGGATGGGAACGTAATATTCATCTTTATATTCATTAAGATTGTCGCCTCGTATTTGTCCCAGATTTGAGTATTTTTAATCTTTCCGTCGCTTGTTGATCAGACTACTACGGATAAAGCTATGTTATTGGCACATTTTCATGGTTACCGTAGTAACGTTACGATTTTCGACATTTTGTGATTTTATGTCAGAAAGTTTTCTATCAACATCATACTGGTTATTAACGTCATTCAAAGTCCTCGACGTGGTCGATAATTTCACCACTTCTCTGTCGGAGATGGTTTACGGTGTGACAGGCGCAAGAGATGATTTCACAAATTGTATCCCAATCTGTCACCGATCGCGTACAAGCGTTGCTGTAGGTGGGCACCACCACAGTTATGTGAAGAATGTTGCCTTACTATAGCTATTCTTCTAGACGAAGACCTAGAGCTTCTAAATCCGTTGAAGAAGATTCCGAGTGACATTGCCCGCTCAGCATCAATTGTCGACACACTCAAAGACGGTGCAAGCTATATTCAAATCGCCGTCATGCACAATATCAATAAACTGCACACTTTCAGGACACAGCATACCATACGTCGAAAGTGCATTTATTCCTGACATTACCGACGAGCGAAATAAAAATATGAAAGGTGATGAGAGCGAAACCGTCTCACAAGAAAAATCGAGTAGTATAAAAGTGTGGATTAGTCAGAAAGGTGAAACCAAAGGAACCTCTAAGGAAATGCTTCGGGTAGTAAGTGAAGCCGAAACACAATCGTGAGCAATGAACACGATTTTCAAAAAAATGGAAATTTGTTCCTGGCTTGGTTATTTGGAATCAGGATAAGTCAAAATAGAATGACACTGCTACACGGCATGCATGCAGTCTAGAGTTGGTGGAATCTTCTTCCATAAAATTACTACAAGAAGAGGGTTCAGGCAAACACAACACTAAGCTGACAAGACTCGATAAGAAGGCTATGGATGATGCTTTTTTGAAAAAGATCTTTAAGTAAATACTCGGAAGTTAAGAGGAAACGTGCTGGCGGGACATAGACTAGATTAAAGCATGCTCAATGCATGATTGTTTTGGTGCACGCTGATTGGCTGATTCTTATCCAATCAGCACTAGTCGATAGTCGGAGAATATTCTGGAATCTTCTTATGTAAAAACTATAAATATACCGACGTTTTCCCCTATTGTGCTTCCTACTGGCTTCTGATTTGCTATTTGGAATATAATCTTTTTCCTGTTCAACTGTGTTCTGATTTGGGGACTTGTCGAGTGAATCGGTGTCCGAGAATACTAAGCCATAGGAATAGCTGGGTCATTAACCGTAAGAAGGAAGAGATTATAACAGTGGCGACGGGGAAAAACTAAAGAAAAATGGCGGTTTCTTTAGAACAGTTGCGGTTAATATTACAGCACCAGCAGAAGTTGTTAGCCTTGCAACAACAACTATTGAGCACACTTTTCACTCGACCAGAAAATAAGAAATCTGTTTATGATGCAGTAACAGACATTTCAGAAGCATATCTAGTGGAGGGTTCAAATCCCTTTATACCTGAATCAGAACGTAATATTTGTAACGTGTCCGGCTCACAGCAAGAAAATCCTGTGCTGAATGCTCATAAAGTTGTGGCAATACGAGATTATCAAGAGCCAGACCCTGTAGATGAAGCCCGGAGTCCAGAATTGAATGAAGCACTACTGGTCCTGTCTAGCTCTGAAAATAACTTTCAGCTAGAACAAATTTATGGTCCACGTGATATTAGCCAAGAAAGCTATGGGGACTCGTATTCATAAAATAACTGCAGTGACACAACGAACCCAATTATACCGAATGTTACTCAAAATCATTGTGAGACAGAAACTTATATTGAATCAGCTTATCCGATTTCTAATGACAATGTATCAGACATGGGTTCTCAGAACAATGCATGTTATTTTGATGGAATTTCTCATAAAAATCAGGAAAATATATCAGCTGAGTCAAATTATGGTCAAAATTCTAATTTAATTTTGTTAGATGATGATTTCCGTAATGATCCATTATCCACTGATGAAATTCCTAATGGATTTGAAAGTAATGCTTCAGAAGAATTAAACTTTGACCTCAAATCAAAGGTCGTTCATTATCATCTAGTCGTTTCTTGTGGATCCGACATTCAATGCGAGAAACGTCGTTTAAATAAAGTCCTATTATTTGTAACTTGGAGATATAAGGATCCGACATTGTTTCGCGGAGGAGGAGAATGTTGGAGAATTAAAAGTTATGCATACTT